AGACGGGTTTCACAATGTTGGCCAGGCTGGTTTTGAACTCCTGACATCAGGTGACCTGACCGCCTCAGCCTCCCAAAATGCTGGGATTACAGGGATGAGCCACCGCCTCCAGAGGCAAATTCTTTGTCACCTATCCAATATCTCTTCCCTTCTTTCTCTTTACTGATAGACTCCCAATTATCAACCTAAATAACAAATAGAGAGGGGCTTTCTAGAAGAAAATTATATTTATGTAGGAATAGGGCATTGCAATAGAAATACACATAGCATAGTAAACCATGTGCATATTCAGGGAGGTAAGGACAAAGGATTTTAAAGGAAAATGAGGATTAAATAATTTTTTTGAGATAACTATCCTTGGCTACAAGGATCAATAAAGACCGTGATGCCAGTCCCAGGTGGTACAGGCAGTTGCTGAACAGATGTCCTCAAAAAATGTTTATTTTTATAGAAATGTTTTTTGGTTGGCTAGGTGAAGTGACTCACATCTGTAATCCTAGCACTTTGAGAGGCTGAGGCAGGAGGATCACTTGAGCCCAGGAGTTCGAGACCAGTCTGGGAAGCAAAGCAAGACCCCATCTCTACAAAAGAATTTAAAAAATTTAGTCAGGCATGGTGGCACATGCTGGTAGGCCCAGCTATTCAGTAGACTGAGGTGGAAGAATCCCTTGAGCCTGAGAATTCAAGACGCCAATGAGCTGTGACTGTGTCACTGCACTCTAGCCTGGATGACAGAGTGAGATCCTGTCTCAAATTAAAAAAGAAAAGAAAAGAAAATTTTATGAGGCAACACTTCATTACTTCCTTCTATAAAATAGAATAAGTGTTCCAGTCACAGAAGTATTCTTTGTGTAAGATTGCAATGGCCTTTGTGTGCAGTCTTTTGTAATACTTTTTTTTTATCAGGCATTTATGCATAAGAACCCTCTCTTCATGGCCTTCCTTGTCAGGTGCTTTATTTTGTTTTTTGCTTTTTGTTTTATATTTTTTTGAGATGGATTCCCACTCTTGTCACCCAAGTTGGAGTGCAATGGAGTGATCTCGGCTCACTGCAACCTCCGCCTCTCAGGTTCAAGTGATTCTCCTGCCTCAGCCTCCTGAATAGCTGCGATTACAGGTGCATGCCACCACACCCAGCTAATTTTTGCACTTTTAGTAGAGACATGGTTTCACCATGTTGCCCAGTCTGGTCTCAAACTCCTGACCTCAGGTGATCCGCCTGCTCGGCCTCCCAAACTGCTGGGATTACAGGTATGAGCTGCCATTCCTTCCTGCTTTCAGTGTGGATATGACATTTAGAGATGCCACAGACATCATGCAACTACGAAGAAGCAAGTATAAGGGGAAAATCTTGTCATGGTTGAGCTGCAGAATCCAGGCCCTCAACTGTTTATCACTAAACTGTGGAAAAAAGGTGTGCCCGTTCATCTGAGCCACTTTTGACTAAATGTTCTATTACTTGCAGCTAAAAGCAATCCTAATTGATACAGAGCATCATGGTATATAGTGTACGCAGAGAGGCCATTTATACCCTCTCCGTGAGGCAATTTCTTATCTGCTAAGATTCCGTGTTTGAAATGGTCATTATAATACACTGCTCAGATCTCCTGCTTCAGCGAGCACAACTGACTGATGGCCCCAGCTGCTGCCGCCAGTGGGGACCCAGCCCTGAGTTCATGCCAAGGCCATCCTTCTCAGGGGATGCTCTGAGTCTGTGACTGAGCATGGCAGGAGACTAATGCAGGCCCATTCCTGCAAGATGAAGGACTCCTTTAATGGGCAACTTTGGCTCAAGGACTCCCTATAACCTTGCTGAAACTTTAAAAACTTATCGCGCATGTGAGACTCCTCTTCAATTCTCCTTCCTTGCCCTTCTTCTTCACAAGCATCAGATTTGCCTATGGTTTGAAAGCTCTCCTTGCCTTCTCTTTTTTCCTCCTCTTAATCCCTCAGAGGCGTTTCTCCGGATGAGCCTCTTGTATGCCTAATCCTTTCATGGGGCCTACTTCTTGAAGAACCCAATGGAGCACAACACTCTTGGCTAAATTAATTAGGAACATAATCTTTTTTTTTTTTTTTTTTGAGACGGAGTTTCGCTCTTGTTACCCAGGCTGGAGTGCAATGGTGCGATCTCGGCTCACCGCAACCTCCGCCTCCTGGGTTCAGGCAATTCTCCTGCCTCAGCCTCCTGAGTAGCTAGGACTATAGGCACGTGCCACCATGCCCAGCTAATTTTTTTGTAGTTTTAGTAGAGATAGGGTTTCACCATGTTGACAAGGATGGTCTCGATCTCTTGACTTCGTGATCCACCTGCCTCGGCCTCCCAAAGTGCTGGGATTACAGGCTTGAGCCACCGCGCCCGGCCAGGAACATAATCTAATGTAGGAAACCAGAAGTGACTCAGCCTGATGGAAGCATGAAGTTAAAGAGGGCTTGTCTTAGTCCATTTTGAGTTTCTAAAAGGAATACCTGAGACTGAGTAGTTTATTCTAAAAAGGTTTATTTAGCTCATGGTTCTGCAAGCTGTACAAGAGGCATGGCCCTAACGTCTGCTTAGCTGTTGGTGACGGCTTTTGTGCTGCATCGAAACATGGTAGAGGAGGTCAAAGGGAAAGTGGGCACATGAGAAGAGAGACCAAACCCGAGGGGCATCCTGGCTTTATAACAACTTGCTCTCTCAGGAACTCATCCATTGCCCCAGGCTTGTAAGAAGGAGAACTCACCAGTAAGCCATTCATGAGCGACCCACCCCCATGACCCAAACACCTCTCACTAAGCCTCACCTCCCAACACTGCTACCTTGGGGATTCGATTCCAACAGGAGATTTCGTGGGAACAAACACACCATATCACCATATCCAAACCACAGTAGGGCTGGAGAGTAAGAAGACTCGGAAGCAACATTCAAGCCACCGATTTACCAGCCTCTCTCAGCTTTCCTACGTTTAAAATTCTTGCCACTAAAAAAAATTTCTTTAAATTTCAATAGCTTTTATAAAGGTACAAGTGATTCTGGGTGGTACATGGATGAATTGTACAGTGGTGATGTCTGGGCTTTCAGTGTACCTGTTAGCTGAATAGTGCACATTGTATACAATCTTGCCATTTTTTAGAGTCTAAACTCCTTATTCCCTCTGGATCAATCCCAAAAATCCACTCCTACCTTTCTGGATAATTCCTATCAGCACCAGTTTGGTTGCTTGTTTCAAGATGGCCACAATCAATTCTTTTTCTTCATGTATTCTCCTAGTATTTTTTATATTGAGAAAGAGATCAATCTGTTCCTATCCTCTTCCTGAATCTGGAATAGTCTTGGTGACTTACTAGACATGTGGCAGAAGTAACACCGTGACTTGTAAGACAGTCATAAGAAGACTTGCACCTTCTCCTTATACCCATGTGCATGCTGTCTGTTGGGATTCTCTTGCACTCTGGGGGAAACCAGCTACCATGTAAGAACTGTGGCCACCATGAGACCACCTTTGTAGATGGAGAGAAACAGAGTGAGGCTGGCCAGCCCTCAGTCATTCCAGCCATCCCAGCCCAGGCACTATACCTGAGTTAACAAGACAACTTGGACTTCTTAGGCTTATTAGATGTCCCAAAAAGAAGAAAGGAGGCCTCAGACATATGGTCCTAGTAAAGGTATCTCAGCCATCTCAACCATTCACGCCACTCTAGTGGAGGACCCAGATATCATAAAGCAGAGATAAGCCAGCCCTTTCTGCTGCTCCACCCAATTTCCTGACTCCCCAATTCATGAGTGCAATAAAATGTTATTTTGTGCCACTAAATTTCAGGATGGTTTGTTATGCAGCAAAAGATAACTGGTATATCCCTGGGAGTCTCTCACATCCATATGACTAAGCCATTTAAAACACTGACTTCTCAGAACTTCATTTAGCTCTCTGAACTTCATCATCATATTGAGCCAATTCTTCACAGTCTCTCACATTCCTGCCAGGCTTTTTGTCTTCCTCACTGGATCCAGTACCACCTTGTGCACGTGTAGATGTCATGCACTGCACAAAGGTATCAGGCCAATGAGTCGAGTGGTGACTGATGGAGATGTTTTTTGTGTTTTGTTTTGTTTTGTTTTTTTGAGACAGAGTATCACTCTGTTGCCCAGGCTGGAGTGCAGTGGTGAAATCTTGGCTCACTGCAACTTCCACCTCCCAGGTTCAAGGGGTCCTCCTGCCTCAGCCTCCCAAGTGGCTGAGATTACAGATGTGCCACCATGATCAGCTAATTTGTTAGTTTGTTTGTTCATTTTTGAGACAGAGTCTCGCTCTGTTACCAGGCCAGAGTACAATGGCGCAATCTTGGCTGACTGCAACCTCCGCCTCCCTGGTTCAAGTGATTCTCCTGCCTCAACCTCCCCAGTAGCTGGGACTACAGGCGTGCGCCACCACACCCAGCTAATTTTTGTACTTTTAGTAGAGACAGGGTTTCACCATGTTGGTTAGACTGATCTCAATCTCTTGACCTCGTGATCTGCCCACCTCGGCCTCCCAAAGTGCTGGGATTACAGGCTTGAGCCACCATGCTCAGCCATTTCTTTGTATTTTTAGTAGAGAGGGCATTTCATCATGTTGGCCAGGCTGGTCTTGAACTCCTGACCTCAGGTGATCTGCCCACCTCAGCCTCCCAAAGTTCTGGGATTACAGGCATGAGCCACCAAGCCTGGCAAGGGGTGTCTTTTTTTTAGTTCACATAAATGTGTTAGGCTGGGCACAGTGGCTCAAGCCTGTAATCTCAGCACTGCGGGAGGCTGAGGTGGGTGGATCACTTGAGGTCAGGAGTTCGAGACCAGCCTGGCCAACATGGTGAAACCCTGTCTCTCCTAAAACTACAAAAATCAGCTGGGCATGGTGGTGCATGCCTGTAGTCCCAGCTACTCAGGCGGCAGAAGCAGGAGAATTGCTTGAACCTGGGAAGCAGAGGTTGCAGTGAGCCAAGATTGTGCCACTGCACTCCAGCCTGGGCAACAGAGTGGGACTCTGTCTCGAAAACAACAACAACAAAAATGTTATACAACTTAGCGGTTCCCATGACTGGGACAGTCAGATTCCCAGGTTTTTCAGTCCATCAGTTTCTATTGCTAATATCTCATGCCTGTGCAGTATAATCTAATCCACCTTTACCTCTATTTTCATTTTCTTGAATCCTTGATTGAAGGGCTTATTGTGCCTATCCTCAGTCTTGGATCTCTTTTTTTTTCCTCTTTCTTTATTCATAAACTTTCCTCTCTCTCAGTGAAAATAGTTTATTTTCCTAATTATATGTATTTTCATATTTTAAAAATCTAAACAATTCATAAATTTATAAAGAAGAAAGTAAAAACTCACCAGAAATCCCATCCCTGATGCAAGTGTAATGTAACTGTCATTAACATTTTGGTGACATTTTTCATGTGTTTGTATATACATGGGAGTTTTTGGATCAATCTCACTGTCTGTTTTCTTCAGTCCTTTTCCTAGAAATAAATGAAGAACCATCTAATTAGAGCCCACCACATATTTAGTTGTCAGTCTTTGCCTGAATACTTATACTGCTTAGCAATATTTAAAAATCTGTCTCATTTCATGTGGTAGGAATGCGGTTCCTATCACATTCAGTTAGTTGATGCCTTCTAATTTCTCCTCAATAACTACACATCTTGCTGAAAACAATGAGTCTCTCCTCAACTCCCCTTCACCTCAGTAGATTTCTGTCACGGCCCATGCATCAACAAAACAAAACAAAATAAAGCAAAACACACTAGGAGGAGCAAAGACAAGGGAGGCAAGTCAGGGACACTTCCGAGTGGGTAGCTGACAAACAAAGAAGGCAGAAGTTGGGAAGGTGAAGTATGTCAGGCCAGGATGGCATGTTCTCTGGAGCAAGGCCAAGTCTATTCTAGATGCAAAGGTCAAAAGCCAAAATAAGATTGCAATGGAAGCAAAAAAAAAAAAAAAAAAAAAAGATCTTGTAGAAATTCTGCTGGTGTCAGTCTGTTTTGTGTTGCTATAACAGAATATCACAGACTGGGTAGTTTATAAAGAAAATTTATTTCTTACATTTCTGGAGGATGAGAAGTCTGAAGCCAAGTGGGCTTCAAGCTATGTCATCCTTTGCTGGAGCATGGATGGGCAAGAGAGGAAGAGAGGACAAGAGGGGACCAAATATGCTTTTATCAGGAACTCACTCCTGGCTGGGCGCCATGGCTCACGCCTGTAATCCCAGCATTTTGGGAAGCCGAGACTGCCAGATCACCTGAGGTTGGGAGCTCGAGGCCAGCCTGACCAATATGCAGAAACCCTGTCTCTACTAAAAATTCAAAATTAGCTAGGCGTGGTGGTACATGCCTGCAATCCCAGCTACTCAGGAGGCTGAGGCAGGAGAATCACTTGAACCCAGGAGGCGGAGTTTGCGGTGAGCCGAAATTGTACCATTGCACTGCAGCCTGGGCAAAATTCTATCTCAAAAACAAAAACAAAAACAAAAAAACCCCACAAAAGTAGGCACATACCTCCTTCAATGTTTTAATTAGAAATTTCTTCCACCACATATCTTAGTTTATCACTCTTAAATTCCACCTTCCATAAAGGCTTAGGGCATATATAAAATTCAGCCAAGTTCCTTACCAATTTATAACAAGGACGGCCTTTACTCTATTTTCAATTACTTGTTCCTCAGTTTCAGCCTTTACCATCCATATTTCTGCCAACATTCTGATCTTGACAACTTATCTCTAAAAAAAGTCCAGACCTTTCCTACATTTCTTGTCTTCTGAGCTTTCACCAGAATTGCTTTAAATGCTCTGTTCAAGACAAAGCTTTTTCTAGCCATTTCCTCTAAATTCTTCCAGTCTCTACCCATTACCAATTCAAACTGCTTCCACATTTTCACGTATTTGTTATAGCAACAGCCACCATTTCTCCATAACAATTTTCTATCTTACCCATTTTGTGTTACTATAACAGAATACCACAGACTAGATAATTTATAAACAATAGAAATATATTTAGCTCATGGCTTTGGAGGTTGGTACATCCAAGAACGTGAGGCTGGCATATTGTACTGGCCTTCTTGCTGTGTCATCTCACAGGGAAAGGTGGAAGGGTAAGAGGGCACAAGAGAGCAAGAAAGGGGAAGAAGGGAATAAACTCACTTTAACCAGAAACCCATTCCCGTAACAACATTAGTGTGTTCCTAAGGGTGGAGCCCCGCATGACCTAATCACCTTTTAAGAGTCCCGCCTCTAGTAGCAATTAAATTTCAACACGAGGCCCAGCAAGGTGGCTCATGCCTTAATGCCGGCACTTTAGGAGGCCAAGGTGAGAGGATGATGAGGTCAGGAGTTCGAGACCAGCCTGCCCAACATGGTGAAACCGTGTCTGTACTGAAAATACAAAAATTAGCCGGGTGTGGGGGCATGTGCCTGTAATCCCAACTACTCAGGAGGCTGAGGCAGGAGAATCGCTTGAACCCAGGAGCTGGAGGTTGTAGTGAGCCAAGATCGTGCCAGTGCACTCCAGCCTGAGTGAAAAAGAGCAAGACTCTGTCTCAAAAAAATAAAAATAAAAAATAAACTTTCTTTTAAAAAAAACTTCCCATACCTGTAGAATAAAACCCAAACTCCTGGCAGTCTAAGAGCTCAGCTTATAGGATCAGAGTACCATCTATATTAGGTTGGTCAAGTTATCTAAGTTTTCCAAATTCTGTGAAAAGAGAATAATAATAGTTCTCATGGTTAACGGTGCATACTAACTGATTAGCAGCCCTGGTAGTGAAGAATGAATTAAAAAACCCATGGGGGGTCGAAGCATCATACCTGACACATACTTAGTGTTGTGTAAACTTTCACTAGTTTTGCTATTATCAAGTTGACAGTCAAGGCTCTTTGCAATCTCTCTCCAATCTGCTTTTTCAACCTCATGTCTTATTACTCTCCTGGAGAAGCTTCAATCTTGGGCCAGGCAGTTCTTAACCTTTCTGAAATACATCATGTTTTTTCAAACTCCCTCCCCACTATTGCTTGTGCAATTGTTTGTTTTCCTATTCACCAACCTATTTGGTTGAAATAACAATGGAAATGAAATGTATTACACCCTGTAAATAACTGGACAGTATTTGCATTCATAGGATCAAAATCCAAGATGTAAATATTTCCTCCAAGGGCCAAAAGCTGAAAGGAGGAATTCCATTTTTGTTCAAGATGTGTTAATCTTATCATTGCTCAGGTTGCCATGGTTCCTGTTTGAAATATTTTCTTGGTGTTTCTAGGACTTAAGCATATGCCACTACATCTGAACAAGCGGCAATAACCCTATTCTATTGAGACAAGGATATGGAGTGGGGAAAGGGTAGGATTTTTGTGAGACAGGTCAGGGCTAGAACCAGAAATAATAAGCCAGGATTTTCCATGTCTCTGTTAAAACTAATCCTTGCTACTGTTGACACTGCATATTTCCATTTTCATTTTTTCCTGGTGATCAGGGAGCAATTTATTTTGTAAACCAGGGAGATACTCTTCTTCCTTTCCTTCCTGTGGCATAATTTATTAAATGGGAAAAACATAGTAACAGTTTCCTTGTAGTTTTTTAAAAAATAAAGGCTTTGATTTTATAAGTAAATTGTTAGTCAATTATTTTATTAGAGAGATAATTCACTAGAATATAAAAATGAGTAAATTTTAGCCTTAAAAAAAGATTCAACCAATGAAAAGTAAGTAAATTAACTTTGATAAATCATAATCATCAGTCAACTTTACAATCATTTTTAATTTCACAATCATAGATAGAAGAGTTCCTTGAGCAGAAATGGAAATTGTGTTTTTATGAAGCTTGCTAATCTATCTCTGATGACATTTATGCCTCATGGGATGTCCTTGCTTCTTTTCTAACCTCTTAGAGACTTATGGTCTCTCGTGTATACAGGAAGTACATAGTAATATGAGAATAGTGTTAATTGCCTTTGATTGCTTAAAATGATAACACTTCATAATTTTATGAATTTCATAAATCATTTTATAAGATTTTCTGTTGCAGATTTAAAGAGGAGCGATAATATTATCTTCTTTCATTCTAAGTGGAATTCAGATAGACTATCCAGGATCTTACACAAATTCGCCAGCATTTCATTATTTATTATCTTTGCCATCAATATTTTGTTGACATTTGCTGACACTTTTTAAGTGTCCTTAAGGCATATGATAATAGATCAGTTGCTATAAGGTGTGCATTTGTATGTACTAGAAAGATTCTCTTTCCTCATAGGGTAAATAATTTGTGAAGGGCTGTTTCATGTGAGCTGTACTCATTTCTTAAGATATGAACAATAAAGTGAGATACATTTTAATGCAAAATAGAAAAACAGAAAACCTCAAGTTAAGTTTTCAGAACCTTTTTCCCTTGGCTTTAAGGAAGGATAAAGTGGAAGCCATTTAGGTGAGTAAAGGGCTTCTAAAACTTACGCTTTAATTTCAGTTGCTCAGTCCTATTCCTGCCTTCTCCCTTTCAAGCCAAATACTACTGCATAGGATATTTCAGGAACAATTAGAGCACAGCTTAGTCTCTGTTTGAAACAAATTCTTATAAGCTAAATATCAATCCATGACTGCCCTTTATTTCTAATTAATTTCTTGGCTTTTGATATATCTGTTAATTTAAACATACTGTACCTGCTTAAATTTCATGATACTCAAGTCCTGAATAGCAGACAAGGACATGTTGCCAATGAAAAGTTGCCAAATACGGGTTGAGAATGTTCTTTCTTTTTTTTTTTTTTTAAAGACTAGTCAAATGCAGTAGTGAGAAGGGGGGAAAGAGTAGAACAAGGAGTTCAATCTGTAACTGACTGTGAACAATCAATTGAGATAACTCACTACCTTCCGACCAGCCAAGAGAATGTTCTTAAAATAAGGGCAGGGCACAGTAGCTAGTGCCTATAATCCTAGCACTTTGAGAGGCTGAAGCAGAAGGATTGTTTGAGTTCAAGAGTTTGAGACCAGCCCAGACAACATAGCAAGATCCTATCTCTATAAGGAAAAAAAAAAAAAGAAAAAGTCTTCTTAAAATAAGAAAGTCATACCCAAAAAAGGACCCATAAACCAAGAAACCAAGTTCCCAAGACCCTCTAGTATACTCTAGATACCAGTAATTTTATTTTATTTTACTTTATTTAATTTTATTTTTGAGATGGAGTCTAGCTCTGTTGCCCAGGTTGGAGTGCAGTGGCCTGATCTCAGCTCACTGCAACCTCCACCTCCCGGGTTTAAGTGATTCTCCTGCCTCAGCCTCCTGAGTAGTTGGGATTACAGGTGCCTACCACCATGCCCAGCTAATTTTTGTATTTTTTAAAGAAACCGGGTTTCACTGTGTTGTTCAGGCTGGTCTCAAACTCCTGACCTCATGATCTGCCTGCCTCAGCCTCCCAAAGTGCTGGGATTACAAGCGTGAGCCACCACACCCGGCTGGTATCAGTGATTAAATATGAAACTAATACTGACTATCAACCTCTATGTATCAAAAATTTCAACCAATAATAACATGTTTCATGGGTTCAGTACTACAATGACTTCAAGAGCAATGGCTGCCTACTCATCAATTAACAGATTGTTTGATGAATTTATTGAAAAATTGACAGTTCTCAAGTGGTAATCCCACTAATGGATGTTATGCTTGATAAATTAATGCTGAGGCTTACAATCTATATAATGTGGAAAACAATTAGAAAACCAAAAAGAAAACAAAAATAAAAACACAAGAGCACTAGATAACACATTTCAAAGAAATGGCCTATAGCCTCTTATATAGAAGAGGACAAAGAGAAATAGACAGTCCTGAAAACATGGCACATGATACAAGACAACGACCTTACTGGCTTGCCTTAAAAGGCTGAGTGGCATGGAATGCTGCCTTGAACTGAACCGTGCACATAATGTGAGTGCAGAAGCTATTTGTTCATGATGATTTTTAGTGCTGTCTATGCAGAATTCACTCAATTATATGTGATGACCACATATATTTTTTCCAAAGCAGCATCTATAGGACATTCCAGAACAACAGTCTAAAGGCCAACAGGACCTCACATTTCTTCCCACCAAGTGGTGCCCGGGGAATCCTATTCCTGATGGTCGTTGATAACTGACTTGGGTTTCATATTTTCCTGATTTATTTAATTTTTTGACTTTTTCTTCTTTTTAAACTACTGGTGATATGCAGATTGGGGTAAAACACTTCACAAATTATTTCTGGCTTAACATTCCTCATTTTCAAATGTGCTTTTCAGACTTTAATTAAACCTGGTCTCCCTGAGTGCCAACAAAGAAGCACTGTTTTCCTGCTTTCCAGAAGGGGAGAATGAAAATGGAACAATGGATACAGCCAGTAAAAGTGGGAAGGGACAATAAAAAAGAAGCTCTCCTGACTTAATCAGAGTTTAGAAGCTTTTCTGCCTTTCTTTAGGCCTAAATTCACACTATCAAGCATTTTGGAAAAATTTCTTTGAGGGAATTAAAAGGCATTATGTTCTATTTCAAACTATGAGAAAAAAAAAATTTATTAACCAATTCCTTTTAGATGTAACATTATGTATAAATTAAAATATAAAATATAAGAAAAAATTTTACACTTTTAGCTGATTTGATTAGATAAAAAATATTTTTATTATTTATTAAACATTACTTAAGCATTTACTATTAAATAATAAACATTATTTATCATATTTAGATAAAATTCACTTAGATTAAAATGATTATAATTTGACCAGTTAATCTGCAAGTCACTTTTTTTTTTTTTTTTTAACTTGAGATAGAATCTCACTCCGTCACCCAGGCTGGAGTGCAGTGGTGCAATCTTGGCTCACTGCAACTTCCACCTTCTGGGTTCAAGTGATTCTCCTGCCTCAGCCTCCCTAGTAGCTGGGATTACAGGCACACAGCCACCATGCCTGGCTAATTTTTGTATTTTTAGTAGAGACAGGGTTTCACTATGTTGGCCAGGCTGGTCTTTAACTCCTGACCTCAAGTGATCTGCCCGCCTCAACCTCCCAAAGTGCTGGGAGTACAAGTGTGAGCCACTGCACCTGGACTAAGTCACATAATTTGATAGTTTTACAGAATTATAATTTATTTATTTTTTTTTTTTGAGACGGAGTTTCGCTCTTGTTACCCAGGCTGGAGTGCAATGGCGCGATCTCGGCTCACCGCAACCTCCGCCTCCTGGGTTCAGGCAATTCTCCTGCCTCAGCCTCCCGAGTAGCTGGGATTACAGGCACGAGCCACCATGCCCAGCTGATTTTTTGTATTTTTAGTGGAGACGGGGTTTCACCATGTTGACCAGGATGGTCTCGATCTCTTGACCTCGTGATCCACCCGCCTCGGCCTCCCAAAGTGCTGGGATTACAGGCGTGAGCCACCGCGCCCGGCTGAATTATAATTTATTAAGAAAATTGTAAACATATCTACTTTGTCTTTAAAACTGTAATAGTTTAACAGACTCCATCTTAGATGTAAGCCTGACAAACGCCATCTTAGCCTCTCCCTCCCCGCCATTTCTCCTTCTGGTGGACAGCTGGGTCATGCGGTACCCAGTACCTTGTAACTGTTGTAACTACATCCTGCTTGGCGAGTCTACCTGCTATTGTGAATAACCTACTCGCCTTAGTGATTGATTGTACAGAAAGTCCTCCCTGCTACCCTCCTTGGTAACCAACAATCCTGGGAACCTCCTGCCTCCTGGTTACCAGCTTTCTTATCTAACTTGCTTGTTCTGCTTCTGTAAAATTCCGCTTTGCCACCCCCCTCTCCCGCCATCTTAAGCAAGGTATAAAAGGAATCAAGCCCCTTCCTCGGGGCCTAGAGACTTCTGAGCGTGAGCTAACTCTCGGTTGCCAGCAATAAAGGACTCCTGATTCAATCTCAGAGTGTGGCACTTTTCCTTACAACTCACTTGGTTACAGCAAAAACCCCCCATAGGCTGGGCAATCCAGCAAAATCCCATCTCTACTAAAAAAAATTTTTAAAAACACCCACACATACTGGACATAAAAGAGTTAAAAGTATAAAACCTCAGTGAAGCAGACACTGGACAGCTGTAACCACATTTACTGAGGCCAAAGAGTACATTTGCTAGTGGTATACACAAAATAACCATAGAAAACATTTTTGAGGGGTAATGAAGTCCTTGAGGTAGCACTTACACTTTCTTCCAAATTCCACAGCAGGGCAAAGAAAATCTTTATTCTGAAGGCTTGTTTTTGCACAGAAGGCATTAAAACAGAGTTTCCCTTCTATGAGGTCTGGTGCTGCACAGTTTTTTTTTTCTTTTGAGATGGAATCTTTCTGTGTCACCCTGGCTGGAGTGTAGTGGTGCAGTCTTGGCTCACTGCAACCTCTGTCTCCTGGGTTTAAGCATTTCTCCTGCCTCAGCCTCCCAATTAGCTGGGATTACAAGCACCTGCCACTGTGCCCAGCTAATTTTTATAGTTTTTTGTAGAGACAGGGTTTCACCATCTTGGCCAGGCTGGTCTTGAACTCCTGACTTCATGATCCACCTGCCTCAGCCTCCCAAAGTGCTGGGATTACAGGTGTGAGCCACCACACCTGGTTGATATCAGTGATTAAATATGAAACTAATACTGACTATCAACCTCTATGTATCAAAAATTTCAACCAATAATAACTCTTGGGTTCAAGTGATCTTCCCACCTCAGCCTCCCTAAGTGCTTGGATTACAGGTGTGAGCCACTGTGCTTGGCCATATGTTCTCCATTCTATACTGGCAATTGAGAGCTAAGCATTCACTATGAATATCCATGTTCATATTGCTGGGATGAGAAATAATGTGTATTAAAGAAGAATCCTGGTCAGGCGTGATGGCTCATGCCTGTAATCCCAGCACTTTGAGAGGCCACAAATCTTTTAAACAGCTAATAGAAACAAAAGCAACGATGTACAGAATTTAAGCTAATAAAGATGCTCTTATCTGAAATTTATATTTTCAATAATTGCAGCTAGAGAATGAAAGAACAAGAATGTGCTACAGATATTATATTAAAAAGAAAACACTCTGGCTAGGTGCAGTGGCTCAAGCCTGTAATCCTAGCACTTCGGGAGGCCAAGGCTGGCAGATCACCTAAGGTCAAGAGTTCCAGTCCAGCCTGGCCAACACGGTGAAACCCATCTCTATCAAAAATACAAAAATTATCTAGGCATGGTGGTGCACACCTGTAGTCCCAGCTACTCAGGAGGCTGAGGCACAAGAGTCGCTTGCACCTGGGAAGTGGAGGTTCCAGTGAGCTGAGATGGTGTCACTGCACTCCAGCCTGGGTGACAGAGGGAGACTCAGTCTCAAAAAAAAAAAAAAAAAAAAAAATGAAGTAAACTCTCTAGCATGAGCTGCTTTGGAATGAAGGGAAGAACGTGAGTAACCTCACATGGTGAAACCCTGTCTCTACTAAAAATACAGAAATTAGCCAGGTGTGGTGGCACATGCCTGTAATCCTGGCTACTTGGGAGGTTGAGGCAGGAGAATTGCTTGAACCCAGGACGCCGAGGTTGTGGTGAGCCAAGATCTTGCCACTGCCCTCGAGCCTGAGCAACAAAGCAATACTCTGCCTTGGGGGAAAAAAAAGAGAGAGAGAGAAAATAATACCATTATTTCAGGAATCTGTAAATCAATATTTCTAAAACTGAAAAATTACAGTTCTTTCAGAAAGAAAATCATTAGTTTAAATTTTGACCTTTTAGAATAGCAAGGTAAGA